TCCTCTGTTCAGTCTGTACGTCTCTGTTCAGCTCTGCCGCCAGTAACCCTCGCCTCCTCCTTTCCTCCCCAGCCGCCGTCCCAGACACCCAGCAGCAGCCGCCGGCCGAGGTGAGACCGTTAATATCAGAGCCTGAATTTAACTGGGTGGTGTTGTCCATGTCCAGCCAGCGCTGATGTGTGATCTTGTGCCTCTGGTAGAAACCTGACCTGACAGGGGAGCCTGACTTACACAAAAAGGCTACATCGACACTGCACGCTTATTTCAGAATACGCTATTCTGGAAGAAACACTCGGAAATAGCTTATTGCGAAACAGCGCGTTTACCCTACAGGGATGCGTGGAAATGAGTCGGAGGCAGGCTCCCTGAATGTGGACACGCTCTCTCACGTTAGAGCCCCAGGAGGCGCTGCGGAGTAATTTCGAGATAGCAACACTGGAGCATCCACGCTACAGCTACTCTGAAATAGCTATTTCGGAAGAGGTGTTATTCCTCGTGGAATGAGGTTTACAAACGCCGAAATAAGCTGTCCGTTATTTCAAAATTATTTCGAAATAACCAGCTGGCTGTGCAGAGGCTCGCAGCGTTATTTCAGAATAGCGTCTGTTATTCCGAAATAACACTGCTTTGTAGACACACCCAAAGAGGCCTCCAAATGTCTCAGCAGTGCCTCATGGGAGCTGTAGTTCTCTCATTCTGCATGGGGGCATGCGCCTTCGCTGGACTACCCTTCCCACAACGGCCCCGTTCATTTCACCAAATGAAATTGATGGGTAGCAGGTTTAAAACTAATCAAAGAAAGTTCTTCTTCACACAGCGTGTAGTCAACCTGTGGAACTCCTTGCCAGAGGAGGCTGTGAAGGCTAGGACTAGAACAGAGTGTAAAGAGAAGCTAGATAATTTCATGGAGGTTAGGTCCATAAAAGGCTATTAGCCAGGGGATAAAATGGTGTCCCTGGCCTCTGTTTGTCAGAGGCTGGAGAGGGATGGCAGGAGACAAATCGCTTGATCATTGTCTTCGGTCCACCCTCTCTGGGGCACCTGGTGCTGGTCACTGTGGGCAGACAGGATACTGGGCTAGAAGGACCTTTGGTCTGACCCAGTATGGCCGTTCTTATGTTAGGAGCCCCCGGCTGTGATGTCTCATGGGAGATGTCGTCTGGCCTGCAGGGAACGAGGCCCTGGCAGGACAACCCCCACAGGCACCGCACTGAATCCAAACCGTTCGGCTTTTGAGGTTTCGCCCAAATGTTGAGCTTCTCCGCAGCAAATAGTGAAAGCGAAAAAGATGTGTGCTGATATTGCCAGCTCTAAATCTGAGATTCATTTTCTTTTCCTGATGCCTCTTTCTCGAAAGACCAAAACCGAGCAGCGGAAAGGCGTTTCTAGGTCACGGCCAACGGGGTGTCCTGTACTGCCGTGCGCCGGGACGTTATCGAACAGCATCAAGCAGGCCAAGCGAGCGAGGGGAGGGGCTGTCAATGAACCACAGGGAGGAGCGGCAGCAGGAAGCAAAAGCGTCCGCTTGTCAGGAAACAAAAGACCCTGCGCTGTTGACTTTGCAGACACGGAGCCGTATGCTGGTCTCAGGGACCCAGAGCTAACTCCAGAGCCACCACCCTGCTGTCAATCCAGGGCTAGGATTTCATTCTCACTGAATTCAGGGGACACCGCCGGAGCCAATGGAGTCGCAGACACGTTCCGATCTCACTTCCTGTGGGGTAAATTTGGAGTCAGGGCCCGAGTCTGATCCTCGAAGTGTTTACATGGGCAATTAAAGAATCCAGATCCCTTAGAACAAAGTCATGACTAGCACCACAAAGCCGCCAGGGAGGGACCAATGTTTATTCTCACTTAAAAACTCCAGATCAAATAGAATCCAAACAACAATTGAGATTCATTTCTCCCCCAGACCAGTTAATGCAGCTAAATCCCCGGACGCCCACTCTGTTCCTATAAAGCCCAGAATCCGGCCCCCCCATGGGGTGTGTCATGGCCGCAGGGAACGTATTGATTTGTGGTACCAGCAGCCGGAGGCGAAAGAGTCCCGCGTGTGCACACTCAAGGCCGGAGGCTGGGGGGATCCTGCTTTTCCAGACCTGGTTTTCCGTTATGAAAGACGCACCATGGGCCAAGGCAGCTTTCCTTGGGGTCGGCATAGTTAACGTTTATTTCTTTAAAAAACAACCAATGGTCTGGTAGCACTTTTTAGACTAACAAAACTCCGGTCGTCTGAGGAAGTGGGCGGTGCCCACGAAAGCTCATGAGACCATCTCCATGTGTTGTTAGTCTGTAAAGTGCTACCGGACCCCTTGTTGCTGTTTAAGTGTATCCTGTACAGACTAACTCGGCCACCCCTCTGAAGCTTTCGTTAATTTGTCTGGCATTAGAAACAGAGCCACCCTCCCCCCCATCAGCTAATCTTTAAGGTATTTATCTGCCAAACCACTAGAGTTTTCAGGGACCTGGTGGTTTCGGCAGGTCAGAGCCAGTCTTTGGTCTGGGAACCTGGGAACAGACCGAGAGCGTCACTGAAGAGATGGTGGAGGGGGATGCTACAGGGGATGGAGCCCTGTCAAAACCAGAGAGAGGGAGAGCGAGTTTCCTTCAGGGCTGCATGCAGCCACCTCTAAGGAGAGGAAGGACTTGCGACTGGCTCTGGGGTGGAGCAAGGGCTGCCGAGTGGCCCACACAGCAACGCCGTGCGACCGTTTGGAACAGGAAGTGATGGCGGATTCTGCGCAGAGCCGGCATCGCTCCGAGGCTGCAGGCTGAGGATTATCCCCAGGGAGAAGAGAATGGTGAGCGAGAGGGAGACGATGGCTCGGTAGTAGAGGGGTTCGTGTCCCAGTAGGACCCCGCCTAGAGCAGAAAAAAGGGGTTAGGAGGGTTGGGGGATGCTGCACCCCTGAGACAGTCAGTCCCGGGGGCGGATAGAAGCAGGCACCCCCTAGGGGGTACAAGACCCGCACCCCGTTTCCTGCCCCCAAGGGCTGGATGGGGTCTCACTCTGGTTTGTTGGCATCACGCTCAGCTGGGTGCCTCCTCCCAGCCCCGACTGCCCCCCGTGGGTCTGGACGCAGCAGCGATAGAGGCCGGAGTCCCACTCCTGCAGCTCGGCCAGGCTCAGTGTCGCCCTCCCCTGCCTGTGCTCGTCCAGCCGGGACACCCGGAGCCGCCCCCGGTAGAAGGGGTGATGAGAATCCAGCTCCACGTCCTCTCCGGATCCCCTGAGCCAAAGCACCTTCACTCTCGCGTCCTTTCCTGTCTCAAACGTGCAGCTCAGGGTCACGTTCTCCCCGGCCGTCGCGCTGAGGGACCGGGGCAGCTGGGAGACGCTCAGAGCATCTGGGGACGAGAGAACCCGCGTCACACACCAGGCAGCACCGAGTGATGGGACAGACCCGCCCTGGCCTTTGGGGAGAGCAGCAGCCGCTGTGTGGTGTGTGCAGGACAAAACTTTCACCTCCCTCTAGTGTAGTAGCAACATCTGTCACTCCTGGATCCTCCTCCCTCCACCCCTCCCTCTGTGCATCCATCCATCCTCCCACCTTACCTCCCTCCATCCATCCCTCCCTCCATCTGTCCATCCACCCACCCTTCCTCCATCTCTCCTCTCACCCTACCTCCCCCCATCCTACCATCCATCCCTTCCTCGCTTCCTCCCTCCTCTCACCTTAGCTCCATCCATCCATTCTCCAGTCCTACTTCCATCCCCCCACCCTTTCTTCCTACATCCTGTCCATTCAGCCAGCCATCCCCCATTTCTATCCTTCCATTCTGCACACTGGGACATCTATCCCAAGGGCGGACCTGCCATCCTGGATGCTGGACACACACAGTCATTCTGATCAGCTGAACAGCTCCATGTCCCTGAACTGTGCCGCAAACTCACCTGGTTTCTGGGCAGATGCGTCGCCATTTGGGGTCGGTCTCCGGCAGCCGGCGGGAATTTCTGAAACAGCTTCGTTGGAATGAAAAAACAAGGGCGGGGGGTGAGGTTCTGGGGCCTGCGATGTGCAGAGGTCGGACCAGGGGATCGCCGTGGCCCCTTCCGCCTTTCAAGTCGGTAAGAAGATTTTAGTGGCCGGCAGCCTGCAGAGTGAACCAGGCGCCCAAAGTGAAAAGTACCAGTTGTTGCAACCTGAGCGAGGAGAGCCGGGGGCTGGAAGAACTTGTGATCTGGG